GGAGGATAAAACTCGAGGCGTTAAAATACTGTTTACTTTGTAGACAGGTTAGGCAGGCTGAAGGAGGATTTCGAGAACTACAGCTGTCGGCGGAAGATACGGGCGGTGCAAAAAAAGCATAACCTAAAAAAAAGTGCATGAGGGGGTTGTTGCTTTCGCAGCTCATGGTGGCGGCACTGGAAAGTAGAAATGGACGTCTGGCAACGGTCTGTAGAAAACGGACGTATCGCACAGATCACATGCCGATATACCAAAATCGCGTTAGCAGGCAGATAAAATATGCAATTTCCCAAAAGTGAACAAGCACCTGGCACCGATTGTATTTATGTCGATTTCACAAATTCTGTAGATCAGGGAACGATGACAATTCACCTTTCGGTTCACTCAGTTTTTGCTGCACAGGTGGAACAGGGAATCTTTGATGAACTGTTGATCGATCTGCTTGTCTTCTCGTGTTTATAAGCTGGATCACCCAGGTGACGAAACTGTTCTACTGATAGTAGTCGACGTGGAACTGTGTACTAATTCTAGTGCAGTACACCACGTTTTCGCTCTACAACAGTTCCTGGACCGCCGAAGTGAATATTAACTCCCTTGATGTTTTCTCATTCGTCGATTACGAAAAAAAGAAAAAACATTCAACAGCGTAGAGCTGGATGTTGTGCTAACGCGCTGTTATCGATGGAGGGGTTGATGAGGAATTTTTTGAAATTATTAAAGAGGCAAACATAACCTTTTTTCTCGTCTTTCTCCGCTTGCGTCGAGATGGTTTTTTGTAGCCTCGGAAGGAAAGGTGATCTAGACAGTATTTTCGAACATCTGTGTTTCACGGATGGTATACTTTCTGTAATTAGCTCTCGCGTGAGGAATGCTGCAGGAGCTCAGCTTATGAAGAAGGGAAGTGGGAATGAAAATTAACGCATTTAAGAAGGTGATACAAAGTGCCCATGTGCCCGCGGCGGAATTTCAGATAGATGATGTTGACTTGGAAGAAGTTGTCGCTGTTTCTGTTTTGGTTAGGAAGTAAATTATCCACCATAATCTCCATCCGGTGAATACGCATTAAAGGGATTGCCGATTGACTCGGATTCGCAGCATTGCAAGTGTTTTCAATTTTTCAAACCGGAAAATCAGCCCTACTTTTCCAGTACCGTTTTGCTGTAGGCAATGACATACGAGTGCGAAATGTGGTCGCCTACGAAAGTTAAGCGAGTTCTGGCACTGACTGAGAAGGGTGCAACAAACTCTGGTGTTACTTTTTTTCAACCAAATTTTCGGTCAGTGGAGGATTGTGTAGGACACCATTACAAGCAAGTGGGAGAGTAAATTCTGAAGAGCAGGTGCGTGTTACTCATTTTGTCGACAGTCGTTGGGTGTTGCGCACTAGTGATTGGCGCCAGCAAGAGGGGAAATGACCACTCGGATTGCTGCCGAAAAGGTTGTTCATTTACATTGAACAAGCAATGGGCACTATCGGGAAGTATGAAGCCAATGATGAAAGTGCCTGGTGAGCTGCGCCAGCGTGTCGGAATACACTAGCGTGAGAAACTCACGCCTATTTTTGGGGCTTTCGTAGTATTTTTGAAGCATTTACCATCGATATAAAAACGTTTTTTCTAACTGCCATTATTTTACGAGCTACACTAACAGGATTCGAATCACTTTGCCTCTGAGGTGTGAAGTTTTAGACGAAACTGTTCTACTGATTTATAGTTGCAAGCAGCTTACCTAACTAGAATTTTCCAGATTTACGTCGCAAATGCTCCAAAGCGTTTCTGATGTTTTGTTGTTTTTAGTTGGGAGATTATGAAGAATTACCAACAGGTGTGAAAGCGTTTTCGCGGATCTGCAAAGATTTCCAAGCAGTTTTTATGACCATGACAGAGAAGAAGTTTAGAAGAATAATTTGTTTCACGAAGTCAACTAGCACGACATTTTGTTAATAAGGGCGATTGAAGGAGAAAATTTTTTCAGATTTGCAAAAGCCTTTCAGCTGAAGTGGGCTCAGATAGCATGAAGCCGGTTTTGACAAGCTGAAATTTGCCCTCCTC